TTAATTCTTTACTTAGTTAAACATGTTCATAATATAGCACGATTTTTATTGATCTAGATAATATAATCAATCTAAAAACTTTTTCCACATTTTGAAGTTCTTAATTCATTTTCACATTGATAACACTGACAAATAGTGTACACAATTCCTCACTATTTCTTCATTTACCACAATAAAAAGTTGTTGATATACGTCATAAACAGCTTTAACTGTGCTCTACGGCGGATACTTATTTTCCGGTGTTCCAGTAACACTTAAAGCAAAGATATGGCCACCCCTAGCGGCAATATAGGGTGCGTCAATCTGGTGACGTAGATGTGTTCAAGGTCCTTGGCCTGTTTATACAGTCTGATACATATACTACGTTTTCTTCCTCTGTACAAGTTTCGAATACCACGTTATTAAGCCAATTTTTTTTCTTCATAAAAATTATAACGTCATTAGCCAAAACCACAATACAATGTCCGCATTGCAAACCTTCACAGAAACTCCTCACCCTTCTACACAGTAGCGTATGTTTATACATACATATATACAAGTAATTGGGCATACAAAATCATCCAAGTTATTGAATGTTACATATAACTATGTAGGTATTATTTGTATTTTTAAGCCTTTCATATATTAACAGATATATTTTAAAGAACACACAAGATACATGAAACACTACAATAATTTATTGGATAAAACTGCAAAATAAAAAAATAATGTTCTTAATTATTCTGAAAAAATTGTAAGTGTATATGTTGGCAGGAGAATTTTGCGTTCATATAATTCAAGAACATATGGGATAATTTGCTACCTCAAAATGCCTGTGGGTATTTCTATTTCCTTGCACTGTCCCTCAGATCCTACTGAAGCGTTCCTGTGCATGTATATAAACTGGTTGAATAAATCTAGTAACAACCTATGAATATTGTAAATACTACAGTCATAATGGTAGGCATCTGAAAAATTTGCAATTTTTATACAGCTAACATTGTACAAAATGAGTATATAGGCTGAAAGAAATGAGATATTTTGATGCACACTAAGAATATTTATAAATGTAATTTACTGTCCATAAAACAGACTGATATATCATAATACTGAAAAAAAAAACATCTGTAGTTGTTTATTTTCAGTATTTAAATTATACATTTTGGATTCTGTACTGTTCCAGGTTGGGAATTACTTGAATAAAAATTAAAATTCAAATTACATTAAAACACAAGTCATCAATTTTAACTGTGTATAATTAAATTATAGGAAATGAGATTGGTCCAGAGAGAGTATATGAATATAATGAAGTTTCACTTGGACTGATTTGTTATTAAATAATGCTGAAAAATTATGTGCAGCTAATTCTATAAAAAAAAGAAAAAATCCTTTATGATATATATATATATATATA